GCAAGACAACGGCTGGGCCACGTGGGATGGCTGTTCCGGGACCCACGGACCCGAGGGACCAGGACTGAGGTCCTCCTCACAGCCAGAGCTGTGAGGACGCCAAGCTCTGAGGACGCGCCCCTGCTTCACCCTATCTGCTCCAGCTCCTATTTCCTGGCAGCCACTCTTTTGCCCTGTGCTTGCTGGGATGCCTGCAGGAAAGGAGAAGAGGAGCAGCCATCAGGGCACCAGCACTCCCACGGAGCTCCGTCTGACAGCAGCTCCGTGCCGCCGTCCCCTCCCACCTCCTCCATCGGGGCAACCGGCGCCCGCAGGGCTGCAGCTGCAGACCCGCACGGGGTCTGAAAATCACCAAGCTTGATTGTACAAATCAGCACGTAACATAGCAACTCTTCTCTCCAGCAACCAGAAAAGAGAGATAGCAAAGGAATAATTGATTCACAGGTCTGGAAGACAAATACTGACACATTAAGAGCATGAGACAAACCCACTCTAGTTCAGACATAGCTGAAAGCTGTTGTCAGCCAAAGCCTCAGCAGTTACCAAAACGTAAACAAAGCTACGCTTAAGGCGTTCATTTTTTAAGTTGAACGCAATGCCTGGCATTACAAAAAATCAAAATAATCCTAAGTTCCTCTGGTTTGAATCAAAAAACGGGAGAAAATCACTCAGAAGCAGAACATTCACGACTTCTAAAATCACTCTGCCTTTTAGTCTTTGCATCCACCTGCCTTACCAAGAGAAGAACAAAAGCCTGTCTGCTAGGACCTCGGGGTCCTGATGGACGACAGACTTAACATGAGCCAGCAGTGCGCTCTGGCAGCTCGAAAGGCAAATGGGATCCTGGGCTCCATCAGGAGAGGGGTGGTCAGCAGGGAGAGGGAGGTGATTGTCCCTCTCTACTCGGCTCTTGTGAGGCCCCATCTGGAGTACTGTGTCCAGGTGTGGAGCCCTCAGTACAAGAAAGACACAGAGATCTTGGAAAGGGTCCAGAGGAGGGCGACTAAGATGATCAGGGGGCTGGAGCACCTCCCCTATGAGGACAGGCTGAGGGAGTTGGGCTCGTTCAGCCTGGAGAAGAGAAGGCTGCGGGGTGACCTCATGGCAGCCTATCAATACCTGAAGGGAACCTACACCCAGGAGGGGAGTAAACTCTTCCAAAGGGCTGACAACAGCAGGACTAGGGGAAATGGATCCAAGTTGAAGGAGGGAAGATTGAGGTTGGATGTTAGGGGGAAGTTCTTCACAAGGAGAGTGGTTAGGCCCTGGAACGGGCTGCCCAGGGAGGCTGTGGATGCCCCGTCCTTGGACGTGTTCAAGGCCAGGTTGGACGGGGTCCTGGGCAACCTGATCTGAATGTGTGTGTTTGGTGGCCCTGCGAGGCAGGGGGGTTGGAACTACATGATCCTTGAGGTCCCTTCCAACCCGCGTGATTCTGTGATTCTGTGCTAGCCAGCAACCGGCCAGCAAAAACTACTGAAATTATCCGTCAGCAATGAAGAAGCAACAATACAAGGAAAAGTACATCAGCTGAGTTATTCACGCTTCAGAAGACCAAAAGGTACCAAGATCTGAACTACCTGAGCTCCACGGTCAGCCTTGCTCAAGCTACACCATCGCCTACTGCAGCTGGGACTTACTCTGTGTTCCTAAGCCTACTGCTTCGGTAGATCGGAAAGTCTGGTTGCATCAGCTGTAAAATACCAACAGCTCAGGGCTCTGTCTTACATGCAGCAAAACTTCATCTTAGCAGAGACAATTCCAACTAGTTTGGAAGCCACCCACTGTTGCCTGTGGATAGCAAAGATAAAATGGAATCCCACAGGCTCGTACTCTTAGCCTGTACTCCCACAGGTAGTGACAGAGCGCTCTAGAGTGGGATGTGACAATGACACGAGTCCCACAGCAGACAGAAACATTTAAAGGTAACAACACTGCTCTGAGGCAGTACCAGCAAGCGCACTGCGCTCTCCCCCCACGCCCCTGCTCTCACCAGTAACCTGCTGCTGCTCGGGGTCCTGCCGGCAGGAAGCTGCCCCAAGTGCTGCCCCACAGCCACCCCAAGCAGCCTCACCAGCACAGGGCTGCACTGAGCCCAGCAGCAGGCAGGGCACCCTGCACGGTGGAGGCCAGGCTGTGGCCGGCTCAGCTCCCACCCCGCTGTGCCTGCAGGCCCACTGACCCCACGCACAGCAGGTGCTGTGCCATCACAGCACAGGGGCAACAGAGGCATGTTCTCTGCGGGTTCTGTCCTATAAAGGCCACCACACAACCTGGCACTCTGAAGCTTACATGGATTAACACCTCGGGAGCCCCTCTCTTCAAGGAGCTCATTCTACAGGTCTGAGTCCCACAAAGGCTGTGGGGCGACGACAGTCGGCACTGCGGCAGATACCCTTCCTAAGCAAGATCCTGCTCCTAAGACACTCCAATTAGTGTGGCAGAACCCTACCTTATTTTCTGTTTAATCTCTGAATCAATCTCACGTGCATCCAAATAACAGACTCAGCACCTGCAACGAGTCTAGATTGAGCAAAGCCTTCGACAGAGGGAGCAAAGAGATCAAGACACCATGATGCAATGGGATGGAGTCCAAGCAGCTGGCCAAGCACACACCACGTGCATGCATTTCCAAGCTGAGCGTGCGCCTGGTGTTGGGACTGCATCATTCCCTATCAAAACAATTCCTGAGTACCCTCATGAAGAAAGCTATATGCCAACATCACTGGATTTAAGATTTAAGATTTCTAGATGCTTGTTTTCTTAATACGCACTGTTCACTTCTCCAAAGCTCCATTTCCTTTAGCCTTTCCATCTGAAGGGCTTTGAAAAACTCTTTGCAATAGCAATTCCATGATTGCTGTAATATACTTGGGTAGGTATTTGGACTTCAATCCAAATCATTTACGTGCTTTAGTGCCTGTGGTGGCAATGGTGATGGGAGGACGGGTGGAACAGATGGTCTTGTAGGTCGTTTCCTACCTTAGGATTCTATGACTTACCAATGCAAACAGTAATTAATTCCTTCCTTCTTCACAGATCTTAACAACTTGGCTTCCTCTTCCTCTCAACACTCTCTCCATCCACATGCCAGCAAGTCCTCTCTGATGCTTTCAACTGCTCTGCAAAATCAAAAATCACAGAAACTGTTCTCTGCTCTGGGAGAGTTCCAAAGCTTTTTGACCCGGCATAAAACTTGGGTCCCTCACATGATTTTTCCCAACTGTTAGAACTATCTTTTGTCATGCGCACATCACGTCTTTTCACATTTACCAACAGTTCTTGGAGATCCTCGAGAAAAGAAACAAAGGACATTCTTCCTTATTTCTCCTATCACTTGGCTACTACTTGGTGCTCCTCCACGACAGTGACACTGCTAGCATATTCATTGTTGTTTCTGTTTTTAAGTAACAAAATATTTTTTTCCCATGAACTTCATTTGAAAACCAGAGACGGACAAACCTCAAGCTTTTGAGAGGTCTGAACTGGTCACGAAAAGCACTCCGAAGCTCAGAGGCTTATCAAAGCTAATCTGAGAATTTCCAAACGTCTCTGCTCTAGGCAGAGGCACAGAAACCCGTTGGCTCAGGACTGCCATCACTGACCGGGCTCGCCTCTCTCCCTGCTCCTCTCCCAACATCCAGGACTGGTTTTTACCATGTCCCTGCTGAAGAGCACACAAGGTACGCAAGCACACCGCTCTCCCTAGGAAAAACATGGCTCCTAGGCACCTGCACTGCAAACCTGTAAGCAGACGTTCAAGTCTCACAGCAATCAGAAAAACTTGAGACATACCCGAGGCCCCTGCTTAGCAATAATGTTTGCTGAATTTGGGCTCACACTATGATTCCAACTCCTCACCTTCCTGCCTTCCAACTGCCTTCACTGCGCTTCAAGCTAAGATCCAATGCCTTCATGCCCTTACGTAACAGCAGCTGCTTCATCAGCACAGAGCAAGGAACGTCTCCGTAATTACATCACACACCAGCCAGGCTGCTAAGGATCCATAACTCTTCTGGGACAGCCTCATCAAACCTTTCTGCATTAGCCTTGCTATCACCCGGAACTCGTCCCATTACTGCTTGGAGGGGTCAGAGCCTGAACTCGACTAGAAGGCCACCTGTCCTCAGGAAATCAGGCACACCTGATACAACCACACCCCTGAGGCTCCTCTGCTCAACTTCAGCGATTCCCAATGCTCGCTTAAAAAATAAAACCCACCGAGAGCATCAAACGCCAACACGTTTCGGTGGCACAGCCCAGCGCAGAGCTACGATCCCAAAGCCATTGTAAGGTTTGATTTCACAGTGCTGGGTGGGACGATTCAACTGCTTCAAGCTCAAACGCGATGCAAGGGAGTGATTAATCCGTACATCTCAGCGACCTCAAAACCTGACGCCTTGGAAAAAACGAACACAACAGACCATCTCAAAGAGCAGATAATCAATCTACAGAACTTAAGCCAGCAGGCAGTCCTGTGGCCAAATTCTGTGCTGGCAGCAGAGTCTTTTCACAACCATTAGGAACATTCCTAGTTACAGAGCTACCACAACTTGGGCACTAAATACACAGACCCACCTGGCAGAACAGCAAATACAGAAGCAACTTACCCTCCCCTTATCCAACTCCGCTCTCACATTTAGAAGTGAAACTACAAGTTTAAATGCCGTGAAAACATCAGGGGATAAAAAAAAAAATCACCTGGTATTTTCCAGGCAAACCACCAAGATCATAGAATCACAGAATGCCCCAAGTTGTAAGGGATCCACAAGGATCACCAAGTCCAACCTGATGCTCCAGGAAGGACAACCCAAACGCAGATGGTCTTTCAGCTGCAGCAGCTCAGGACCAGGCCCACAGCCCTGGGGAGCCTGGCCACAACCACTGGTACCAGATGCAGCAAGCACAGGGAGCAGGCAGGTAGGCACAGCAAGCAGCTGTGACCAACCTGAGAGGGGGCCTGCTTACACAAATCAACCCGGGGCCTGCCTACACAAAGCTTTCACTCCAGTAAAGCTCCACCATTTGGACAGCCAGAACACAAACTGCCATTTCACTTCTCGTGGCTCTTCCCTGAACTCCCAGTTACTTCAGGGCCCTATCGCACTGCAACTGCTCATAATCGATAACCAAGATGATATCTATCACGACATAAGCAGCTCAGTTCTGCTTGGTGGCAATGACAGTCCATTCCCATTGCATCCCTTCATATGAGGAAAATCACGGCTGGCTTTCTGACAGCCTCCTGCACGATTCCCCCAGAAGCAGCCAGCACTTCTGAAAAGTGAAAGAAAGGAAGGTTCATGCAAACGGGCACACAAGGCTTGCAAGAGATGCAGTGCTCCACATCAGAGACAGGACCACCACAGTGCCGAAACACAGTTTATCACTAAAGGAAACATTGGAGAGCATATTCACAACTTCGGCATAATCTGCATAAGTAATGATTCAGCACGTATAGTTTTCTTATCATTCAGTTGGAGAAGGCAGATGCTCTCACACATCAATCAGCAAGCACTTGGATGAGCCAGCCCTCTGGTTTTCACAGAGACAGACAGGCATCGCTACTGCTGGCTCTGACACCTAACCAGGAGATGCTTCAGCTCTTTAACGTGGACTTCATTCCTTCCATCAGCAGCTGCTCCTGAACTGGCCTTCATTCACACAGCCACACCACCAACTTCCAGCACGAGCTGACCTGCAAAACAGAGCAGAGAACGCTGGATGACAGCCAACGCAGAGATAACATGCTTGAATATTCACGAAGAACAAAGCAACGACAATACAGAAGAGCAGCTGCAACAACACAGCAGCAAAGAAAAAAAAGGAAACGCCCCGGCCCCCCCCCCCGCACCTCCGGCCGCGCGTCGCCCCGCCCCCCGGCCCCGCGCAACGCAAAAAGCAAAGCAGAAAGAAAGCCATCACGCACGTTGCGGCACAAACACCAGCACAATATCTGCATATTACAACAAACTCCACAGCACAGAACCTTCCAGAAACAAGCCCTGCCCCCGGGCCAGTCAGCCCTTACAGGAGCTCCAGGAGGGGCAGCCAGGCTCCGCCCCTTCCAGCCAGGCTCCATTGCCTTCAGCTGCGCTCGCACGGCTCACCGGCTGCTTTCCTCAGCTGCTCCGTCAGTGGGTCAGGCTGCGATTCAACGCTTCTCATGCAGCAGAGCAAAGCAAAAAATAGCAAAGCAAAGCTATCGATGAAATCGAAACAACAAAGAAAGCTTGCAGGATTCTAGGAAATAACAAAAATCCACAGGAAGCGATGCAGAAGGCAGGGTTATGGCTGCGTGTCTGTCTGAAGGAAACAGCTGCACATCTTCACTGCTGCTCCATGCACCCATCGCAGACAGCTGCACACAACAGGGCTCCTGCAGCACTCACAGCTCCTGTCAGCTTCACTTTTAAAGCCATCTGATCAGCTTCCAACTCCGTATTGCAAGTGCTTTAAAGAAAGAAGCACTAAAGCTGGCAAACGCATGACGGCTCCAGATAACAAACACCAAGTCAAATGGCACTTCAGGCAATAGGCATCCTTAAATTTGCCCACCTCTTTTGGTTTATCCAGAGAGGCTTCTAGTTCTTTCAGAGCTTCTTCTCAATCCTGGAGCTGGAAAAACCAAGGGAAAAATGTTGAAATGGCTCCAAAACTCGTTCAATTTTCACTTAATCTCAATCTTGCCCTGCAGGTGGGTTTTTGCTCTACACAACATCTGACTACTTGGAAGAGCCCTAATGGCCGTCTGTCTACATTCAGCTATTGGCAATAGGCGAACGGTTGGACTGGGTGATCTTTGAGGTCTTTTCCAACCTTGGTGATTCTATGATTCTAACTGTTCTGTTTTCAAAGCACAGTTGGAATACTATGCGGTAAATAAGGTATCGGGCTGTTCACAGAACAGAAAAATGTAAAAGATTGAAAAGTTGCTGACTAAGTAAGCGACTTACATGCCGTACCTAAGATGAAGACTTGACGAAAAATAGCAAGTGATCACATGATTCAAGGCCGTACAATAATGGATCCTCAATAGCACATGAATAACATTTCATTGGGAAATATTAAATGTAGCATTTGCAAATGTTTACGTGTCTGACTTTGCGCTTCAATACTACTATTTCTCTGCAAGAGTTCTGTTATCTAGTTAGTACATAAAACAGGAATACTATCAGTGGCTGACAATTATGCAGGAGTATTCTTGTCAAGTATGGCAATACACAAGGGTCTGAAGCCTTCTTTTTTTTCTTGGCTCCAGGCTTGCTTTTTGAGGTATTTTTGGGGATAAGACTCTAACTGACTTACCCAGGAGGTGACTGATGAGTGTCACCGTGTGGCAGTCAACATAACTTTGTGGACATTGGAAAGCATTTCCTTTGGAACTCCTTGCCTTCAGAAGAGAGTTCTCAGGAGCTTTCACTAGCAGAAGATCTGGCCTGGGAGCAAATAACTCCAGCTTCGTGTGGGAGACTGGGGAATTATACCATCACGTACTGTGAAAAACAACAAGATGCAGGTGAGCACCTCCCCGCTCCCTCTTCTTTGCTGACGAGGTGTGGAAGATGGGAACAAAGGAGTTTCTGCTGAGATCCCAAAGCCAGAAGCTGCCGCTCCAAAGAGAGCTGACTCGATCACTTTGGACTTATGTATAGAAGTTGGTACTGCTGCCACTGCTGTCATCATCACCCAAACAACAACCCTTGACAACCCACCACTTCTGAAGATCAGCGTCTGAGCTATGAACCAAACCTAGTGGTGACTATCTCTCTCCTGCTTTCTGCAAAGACTCCTTGCTCTTATTTCCTGTCTTTACCACCCACCTTCCCTTCCCCACCTCCTTCAACAACTAGGACTTGTAGTAATCTGGTTGGGCTAGCATTTCACCCATCGTCCCCTAATCTCGCCATCAGGCATATGTATATTAAAAGAACCTTCTCTCCCTCCCGTATTAGGGAGACAAGGGTACCGTATGTACAAAGAAATACCAGTGGAATGACGATAGAGGTAGAAAGATACAGAGATGTTAATTTAAACTTGTATTTCACTAAATAATACCTCTGGATTTATTTTTGGACTTCATTTCATTTTGAAAAATTTTCACCAATACTACCCCCAGTCTCTGAAAAAATTGGTCAATGTAACACGAAAGAAGTTAAGGCACTCCATCTCCAAAGCTGCTTCAACGTCTTCAATGTCTTCCCGGGCTCCTGTCAAACAGAGTAACAGAGTGTGCATTTATTACATCAAAGGATAGAAGCACTGGAGGAAGGTCTCGTTATCTGAGCTGGAAGTGCCTTGATAGGATCACAGTGCTAAATAAGCCCCTTTGACAACAAAACAAAGTCCAAAATGGACTCACAAATCACAAGTGTTTCAAATCCAAGAGTAGAAATAGCTTTGTTTTAGATAGGTTGTTGTTAGCATTTTGTTTTGAGCCCTGCTGGTGGCAGTGGGGGTCCAGGCCATCAGCCCCCTGCCGGGAGCCCGGCTGCTGGCGGCTGGGCACAGGGCAATTAGGGGACACTCACTGCATCCAGAAGGCGAGCCGTCGTCTCCTCACCTGCTCCTTCTTCTCCCGCAGGTGAACACGGGGCAGGGATGGTGGTCGGGCCCTGCTGCACATCCAGGGCTCGTGCAGGACACTGGGAGCCTGGCAGCGCAGTGGCACAGGCGGCCTCTGTCACCGCAGGGGCTCCCCAGCAGTGTGTGCCCACCCCAGGGGGCTGGGATGGGGCTGCTCCGTCACGCCACATGCCAAACGGAAGCCGAGCCCAAAGCCCAGCAGCCCTGCAGCCCCATTGTTGCCCCAGGTGCAGGCATGGGCTGCAGGGCCCAGTCCCACTCGGCACGCATTCTCCAGCTCCAGCTCCTCCAGCTCCTCTTGCAGGCGCTGTTTCTCCTGGAGCAGCACCTGGCAGACAAAAGTGTGAGTGCCCGTTGCCTGCTGCAGCCCTCCTGCAGGTCCCCAGCCTGGGGGCAAGCAGCCCCGATCCCCGCACCCCTCCACACTACCTCGATCTCCTCCGTCTTAGCCTGCAGCTGCTTTGCCAGCTGGGCGATGAGCTGCTTCTACTGCAAGACAACGGCTGGGCCACGTGGGATGGCTGTTCTGGGACCCACGGACCCGAGGGACCAGGACTGAGGTCCTCCTCACAGCCAGAGCTGTGAGGACGCCAAGCTCTGAGGACGCGCCCCTGCTTCACCCTATCTGCTCCAGCTCCTATTTCCTGGCAGCCACTCTTTTGCCCTGTGCTTGCTGGGATGCCTGCAGGAAAGGAGAAGAGGAGCAGCCATCAGGGCACCAGCATCAGCACATTCAGCATCCACTCACGCTATTCTTCCCTTAGAGCAGGACTCTGAATCCTGATGTCCTGATGTCACTCTGGAAACGAGAGAGAAAAAAGAGGCAAAGAAGAGAATAAAAAGTAGAAAGCAACACACGTCACTGTAGAGAAAGCCAGCAGGAAAGCTCAGCATAGGAGGGCTGTGGACACCCCCTGTGTCACAGCCCAACGTTTGGGGCAGCCCTCTGGGGCCCCATCTGTGCCCTCCCCCACAGAAAACTTGGTTCCAGTGGGGTGGGGTTGACACCCCTCTCCTTTGTAATTAAGGTTTACTTGTTGATCATGGGGATTTGGGGATGTCCTCTGCATGTAAATAATAAGGAGAGGAGGAGTGGCTCTGGGGCTCCATATGTCACCCTGGGGGTAAACTTTGGGGACAGAGGTCAGTGCAGCATCCTGGCCCCAGAGCCCCAGAGCCCACTGCGGCCCCATCTCATAGCCATCCCTTATCCGTGTCCCACAACTTTATCCCATCCCATCTAAGGCTGTTGATGTGGTCTACCTAGACTTCAGCAAAGCCTTTGACACTGTCTCCCACAGCATTCTCCTGCAGAAGCTGGCAGCCCGAGGCTTGCATGGGTGCACTCTCGGCTGGGTGAGGAGCTGGCTGGAGGGCCGGGCTCAGAGAGTGGTGGTGAATGGAGTCAAATCCAGCTGGCGACCGGTCGTGAGCGGTGTTGCCCAGGGCTCGGTGCTGGGGCCTGTCCTCTTCAATATCTCGATTGATGACCTGGATGAGGGCATCGAGTGCACCCTCAGTAAATTTGCAGACGACACCAAATGGGCTGGAAGTGTGGATCTGCCTGGGGGTAGCGAGGCCCTGCAGAGGGATCTGGACAGGCGGGAGAGCTGGGCTGAAGCCAACGGGTTGAGTTTCAACAAGGCCAAATGCCGGGTCCTGCACTTGGGCTACAACAACCCCAGGCGACGCTGCAGGCTTGGGGCGGTGTGGCTGGAGGACGGCGTAGAGGAAACGGACCTGGGGGTATGGATGCATGCTGGGCTGAATATGAGCCGACAGTGTGCCCAGGTGGCCAAGAAGGCCAATGGCATCCTGGCTTGCATCAGAAACAGCGTTGCAGGCAGGAACAGAGAGTTCCCCTGTACTCGGCACTGGTGAGGCCGCACCTCGAGTACCGTGTCCAGTTTGGGGCCCCTCACTGCAAGAAAGACATCGAGGCCCTGGAACGCGTTCAGAGGAGGGCAGCAAAGCTGGTGAGGGGTCTGGAACGCAGGCCGTATGAGGAGAGGCTGAAGGAGCTGGGAACGTTCAGCCTGGAGAAGAGGAGGCTCAGGGGAGACCTCGTTGCTCTCTGTAACTTCCTGGAGGGAGGTTGTAGCGAGCTGGGGG